CATTGGAATTTGTCGTGGTGATTCTCCATGTTCATCTTGCCGAGTTTCTAACTCAGCAATTCTCTTTCTTAACATTTCTAGCTCCTCTGATTCACGTCTTAGACGATTCCTTTCGATTAAACGACGTAATTCATTTTGCCCACGACGAGTATGGTTTTGTTCGAGAGTATGTCGTAAATCAGAAGGTTGATCATGTCGTAAGATTTTGGGCAACGACGGATTAGGCTGTCGTAGTCGATGCCCAGAATGGCTTTCTGCAGTTGCTTCTGATCGAACTGCTTCAGGAATATGTGTTTGTACAGGAACTACTCCACGATTTTGAGTTGCAATATCATGTTGTGATGTATGCGTACGTGGATGAGAAGTTGCATGCGATGTAGCAGGAATTTCATTCCTTTGCGAAACTGGTGCAGGACGGGTTTGAAGATTAACCGCTGCAGTTGATTCTATTCTTGTTCGTGCCATAAAATCAGTTAAATTTTTCAAGAACTCTGGGTCTTGAAACAAGGCTGAATAATCAATTGATGTAGATGGCATGGTTGAATTTCCAGTTGTGTGAGTTGGGTGACGATTAACTCCAGCATCTGGATTACGTTCGTTTCGTCCAGAATTCGACATCTTCGTATTATCTTGTATACAAGACAAACATTCGAAGGTTAAGCCCCCCTTCCTCTAGCGCCAAACTGTTGTTGTCTTGAATTAACAACTTAAAATTAAGCACAGTTGATGTCAAGAAAATTAGGATAATTGTTCAGTTTGATTTTATTTGTTATAATCACAAGAGTACAGAAGTCGGTTTTAGGCTGAAAACCGAGATTGTCTTTAGTTCATGTACAATGTGATCGAAAAAGATCCTCGTACTATCATAAATTCTGCTATTTATAGTACGGTGGCTTTTGTCTTCTTGCTCGAAATGGATAAAGATGCATTTAATGTTGAGCTGCTTTGCTTGAAGCGGCGGGAAACATCAATGATTGCCTTTTTGCTGCGTTGGTCCAATCAGATGTTTCTAATGATTACTTTCTGTTGGAATATTCAAACTTTGTAATAGTCGGTTGAACTAAAAGTCGGTTTACTTGCGTTGGCTTTAGATGTCGGTTCTTGTGAAGACTGTTCTTTTTGAAGACCTTTGTAAGTCGGACCTTTGAAATCTTTGTAATTCTTCAGAAGTCAGTAATTTGTTCCAATTCATACCGACTTGTAGTAAGTATTTTCTTGTGAAATTATTTCTTCAATAACGTGATTAATCTCCATCTTCAATCTCTGTTATCGGATTTGATATCAACATGTTGCATAAAAGGAAAATTTGATGGGAATTGTGGAAAAAATTGTGCAGGATAAGGAGTTTGTGAAAATTCATCAGGATTGGTAGGATTAGAACTTGAGAAATTTTGAAAGTTTTGTCTATTATTGGGATCCATTTTTTTTGAGGTCGGGTTATCTGTGAGATTGGGCGGCGACGGTGAAATTCGGGGATTCTCTTCGCGATTTGGTGATCCCATATCGTCAATCGGGTCAATTTTTAGGTACGAGCTCAGTCCTTACGTAGAGATCCGAACTCGGCTTGGGTGGTGCCGTGGGACCCGATTTGTGTTCGATTCACATCGTGTCTAGGTGGGGACGTCATGGTGAGGTCGGGCCCACGATCTATGGCGAGGTCGGGTCCACGACCTATGATGAGGTCGGGCCCATGACCTATGATGAGGTCGGGCCCCGATGGGTCTCTGGTGAGGTCAGGCCCGAGTTGCGACGATGTCAGCCCGTGACGACTGATCGAAAGGTGTGCCTTGGATGACAACTTGGAGGACCGACGAAAATGGAGGCTCGGCGACGTTGAGGTCGGGATGATGAAGTCGGCTGGAATTAAGTCGGTAATGTCGGCAACGGTGGGTCCGACTGCTTTGTGGGGATCTGAAATCGGCCCGACCGTGAAGAACTCGGCTCCGATGACTGAAGTTGAGGATGTTGATGTCTCGACTAGGCGAGGTCAGTTGTGGAATGCTCCGGTAGCGGAGGTCGGCGTGGTGAGGTCGGACCTGAGTTGTGACGATGTCGGTAATTGCGAAGTTGCCTCCTGAAAGTGGCTAGGACATTTGAGCTGTATTTCGTCCACGTCACCCATTGTCTTATCACTTTCTATTTTTGGCACGCAAAACAAGAAAACAATTTTTCTTCTCCAGCTTGAAGATTATCTAAAAAACTACCGAAGTCATCCAAAATATAAAAAATTCTACACACCAACACACAGGAGATTTTCCAATATTGTCGGCACTCAATCCATTTTTCATCTTCAAGGGAACTTGTGCGGAGAAGTGAAGACTTAATACAGAACTGTATATCTATGAATTTTGAATAACAGAGCACTGAATACAGAAAACTTAGAATAGGATTATGAATAATCTTATCTTGAAATGATCTTCTTTCGGGGTAGAGACGTGGTTGTGAATCAGCGAAAATTAACTCCGAATAAATTACGGAGCCCTTCCTCTAGCGCCAAAATGTTGATAAACGGATTTGTATCAACGAAAATGAACACCCCTATTTTCTGAATAATCGGTGTTCGATCGATTGTGTATATTAATGATGGAAAAATCAAGAATGTTTTTGTATTAATTTTGTTGAAAGAGATGAATGAATAGTGACCTCTCTCCCCTCCATCCCCCCCCTTTCTTTCCTACCCCATCTTTATATATACTGTATACATGTCCTTCTTTTTTACAAGTGGGACAAGTGGGGGCATTAAGAAAATGGATAAAAAGGGGTACACTAGTATTTCATGTGATATGACGCCGTGGGGCCCGATCGTGACACTTGACGGCTTCGATTGACGTCTATTTTATCGGCAATTATTGTATCTGTCGGACTCGGATCTTCTCGATATCCGGGTCGGGCTGATAATATTAATTCTGATAAGCTCGAACGTGGATGATCTGGGCACTTCGGAACTCGGTCGATGTTAAATAATCAGCTCAGAGAACCTGCTATATTTATATTTATTTAGAACATATATCCACATATAATATTTTAAGAGGCGAGGTCAAAATTTGATGTCAACATAGAGGCCCCTGACTTTAGGACATGTTCTGAATAGAACTGTTCTGAAGTCATACGTAAAATAAATTTTGGTTGCGATAAATGACACATTGATGTTGGCCGGATATTTTTGGAACCGTGGACGTTTTGATGATCGTTTTCAGGCGTTGGCCTGTCGTTTGGCATGTCATTCGCGCTTTATGCTCTTTGATGAGCTAAGTCGGTGAAATGGACAATTTTTGGAATTAATATGAAATGGGAACCTGAGAGGCTTAGTCGGGTAATCTGGTACCCGATATGTGATATAATGCTTGTTGAAAGAGTCAAATGTTGGAATGGTTCTGTTGATCGATACGTAGGGCGCTCGGGCCTTTGCGAGTGTTTTTCATGATTTATGCGATAATTTTGCAACGACTCTTTAGCTACACATTTTGTATGGTTGGCTCTGTATGGCCTTCTTAGTTTTAGGGCATTTCGGCCGACCAAAACCATTATGGAGGTTTGGTTAATTTTAATTTAATTTTAAGTCAGTTTTTTCATTCCGACTTAAGGCATTTTGGGCATTTTTATAAAGGACGTCGATTTTTTAAACCGACTTTGAGGCACTTTGGGCCTTTTTTGAAGAACGTCAGTTTTTTAAACCGACTTTGAGGCACTTTAGGCCGAACCATTCACATTCAAGTGTTTGGCTTGTTTGTTGATGTCAAGATGCAGGTATGATGCACATATGGGATGAACGTATGTATGAATGTGTAAATATATGATGAGTGCGGTGAATGATGTCACCTCGACCGCCTTACCGGGATATTAGCCGTACCAAATCAACTTCAAGATTTGTTGTAATAGGCATTTGCCGTACCAAATCAACTTCAGGATTTGGTGTAATGGGCATTTGTCGTACCAAATCAACTTTAGGATTTGGTGTAATGTGTATTTGCCGTACCAAATCAACTTCAGGATTTGGTGTAATAGGCATTTATCGTACCAAATCAACTTCAGGATTTGGTGTAATGGGTATTTTGCCGTACCAAATCAACTTCAGGATTTGGTGTAAGAATTGGGCATGGCATCTCAGCCGGTGTGGAAGCTCCACGGCGAGGAAAATATAGACATCGCTCAGCCAGAGTTGGGCTCAATGGCGAGAAAATATGGATGTCAGCTCAGCCGGAGTTGAAGCTCTACGGCGAGAAAATATAAACATTGCTCAGCCGGAGTCGAAGCTCTACGGTGAGAAAATATAGACACCACAAATAGATAAGGGACTTCAATGCTGGCGTAGACAAATAAGTGGAGTCGCGAGTAGTCAAAGGATAAATTAGCAACGTCGGCTTGACGTCTGACGTCGACATCGGGCAAACCTTCAGGCTTTAGTTGCAACTGAGGTGTTGGTCAAAGATGGCGAGGTCGGTCAAAAAGATTGATCGAATATGGTCGTCTCGCCAACATGTCGCATAAATATGCCATATGAGAAAAATATTTAAGCCCTCGTCGACGTATGTGCTGGCTCCTTTGAGTTGTAATATTTCATCCCACTCTTCTCATTTTGCTTTAGCCCATTTGAATATAATTTTCTGGCCCCATAGTCTCAGCCACTTTATTCATCCGTCTTCCATTCTTAAGATTAGTTGGCCTTGGTCGTGAGTCCACGACTAAGTAAATCAGAAGTCGGCCGTGTTTATAATCGGACTCAATGGGGATAATCAGAAGTCGGGACCCAATGAGGAAGTCGGTTTGGCCCCGGATGAAGTTGGCCGTAAAGTTATCGACCTCGAATGGCTTTTGAAGTCGGTGATAAAAGTGTGATCGAGACCCATCGATTGAAGTCGGGAATTGAAGATGACGGGATGTCTTAGTTCACGGCAAATCTCGCGAGGTTGGTCCGACAACATGCCCAAATTGGAGATGGCGATGTCGCTTCCAACTTGATGAAATCAACGTGAAGTCGGTTATCCAATCCCGAACTGAGGTCAGACATTCGGTAGTAAAGTCGGTGAGAAAGAGACAAGCCCGAGATTAAGGAGGTCGTGCCCGATTTGAAGTCGGTGATGTAGCGTTGTCGGTTCAGGTTTCCGTGATTTAGGAGATCCGAGTTTATGGGAGCCGTTGATTGATGTCGGTCGGTGCCGACGATTGAGGTCGGACGTCGGAGCGAAAGGAGCGAGGTTGGATCTGTTGTTTCGTTTTAGCTCGACAATGATGACATCGGGAAAGGTAAGATTGAGACCTGTCGACTGAGGTCGGAGGTCGGAGCACTTGATGTTCGAGGTCGGAATGTGGTTGTGGGGCTCGTCGGCGGACATTGAAGTCGGGCCCCGATGCCGTAATTTCGGGGTTCGAGCTCGTGGTAGGCTGTGAAGGGTTCGTTCACGGTCGAGCCCCGACATCGTTGGTTTAATAAATGGACTCGGTCCCGTTGCGTAGGCAAATGAGGTCGGTTGATACGTCAACTGCTGTTAAATAATTTTTTGCTCATAGTTTGCGGCATATTTTAAGGTTTCCACCGACGAATGGTTGTAATGACTTTATTTTCTTTGTTTCCTCATTTTCCTTTCATCATTGTTTGTTGGGCCAACTTAAAGTGAGGCCCAAATAGAGTATTAAATTGACACCACCATCAAATGGGTCGTCCCTTTTCTGGCTTCTACAGAATCCGCACTCACATCATTCTTCTCGCAAAAATTGCGACAAAAACTTCTCATGATAGCGACGGATATGCGAGGCGGGCGTGGTTTGAATATTGAAGATGACGGGATAGATTCCGACAACAAATCAGAGATCCGGTGGCAAATCAAAAATTCGGTGGCCAGTCTCGAGCCCAGCTCGTCAATTGGTTTAATTTGAAGATCCGGCTAGGTTAAGCCTGATCCATCAGAATTAATCAGAGGACGTCCCGGCCTTGGAATTAGGCTCGGTGTTGCCGAAGTCGATCTGGTCCGAGAAGAGGTCGGGTATTGACAATTTATGTTGAGGTCGGTACCGGTGATTTGAGTTGAGGTCGGTACCGGTGCTTTGAGAAGTCGACCGGCGGTAAGGTCGACAATCGGCGAGTAAAGATGTCGGCCCGACTTAGATTTTGGAGACTTGAACTTGTGATGGCCGTTGACCGAAGTCCGTTGGTCCCGACAATTGAAATCGGGGATATCAGAGAAACCGAGGTCGGTTTTGATGCTCTCACAAATCACGGTCAGCCATTCTGAGATCGGCCCTGTGGTTTGTGATGAATTGAACTCGGTCCCGACGACTGTGATGATGGGCCCCCAGCTGTGAAGTCGGCAATTGTATGGAACCTTGGCGGCGGAGAGAGGTTGGAGACGCCGAGTTGGAGACGTCGAGGTCCCGACTATGCGATGTCGGTTTGTAAAGGGCAGGTTCAGCCCGGCCGGTTGGTGCAACTCGGTCGGCTTTGCTTGTGTGGCTTGGCGGCCGACACCTGCTCGACGGCAACTCATGTTTAACTAGCTTCCGTGGTTGGGAGCTGCCAGATCCCGTTCCGGAGGCAGTGCGATTTGTGGATTTTTTCCTCGCAAAAGTGGGATTATCCCAAGAGAAAAAAGACATCAAGTTAAATAAAATTTAACGACTCTATGGTTTGGCCAATATCGTGACAAGCCACATCAAGCAGTTTCGAGCATTAAGAATTATATATATATCTACACACACACATATATATATATATACATATTTTTATTTTTATTTATTTATTTATTTGAATAAGTGGTAGTGTTATATATGTTTATACGTTTAGTACTACTATTATAATATGCGTAGTACACATGTGCGTAGTACAAGTGCATATGCAGTACATATATAATGCACATATTACTTATTAATTGTTATTGTTGCTATTACTATTATTATTAGTACTAGTATCATATGTGTAAGCGTGAATTTAATTGATTAAGGGAGTTAGATCTCGGCTTACACTCATCGTCTCTTTCTTTTTTCTCGTTTTTTCTTCGTCGCATCCCTTGATGTCGGCCTCACAGCTGTAGTCGGCCCCGGTTATGTCGGCCGAGATTGAGTTCGTCGGTAGACGAAGAAGAGAGGTCGGCCCGGTCCGTGGTGTGATCGGATATGTGTTCCCGAGTTTCGTTGAGATCGGGCAGTGGTGCAGAGGTCGACTGTGATCAAGTCGGTCCTCAATTGAGGTCGGGTTATCTGTGAGATTGGGCGGCGACGGTGAAATTCGGGGATTCTCTTCGCGATTTGGTGATCCCATATCGTCAATCGGGTCAATTTTTAGGTACGAGCTCAGTCCTTACGTAGAGATCCGAACTCGGCTTGGGTGGTGCCGTGGGACCCGATTTGTGTTCGATTCACATCGTGTCTAGGTGGGGACGTCATGGTGAGGTCGGGCCCACGATCTATGGCGAGGTCGGGTCCACGACCTATGATGAGGTCGGGCCCATGACCTATGATGAGGTCGGGCCCCGATGGGTCTCTGGTGAGGTCAGGCCCGAGTTGCGACGATGTCAGCCCGTGACGACTGATCGAAAGGTGTGCCTTGGATGACAACTTGGAGGACCGACGAAAATGGAGGCTCGGCGACGTTGAGGTCGGGATGATGAAGTCGGCTGGAATTAAGTCGGTAATGTCGGCAACGGTGGGTCCGACTGCTTTGTGGGGATCTGAAATCGGCCCGACCGTGAAGAACTCGGCTCCGATGACTGAAGTTGAGGATGTTGATGTCTCGACTAGGCGAGGTCAGTTGTGGAATGCTCCGGTAGCGGAGGTCGGCGTGGTGAGGTCGGACCTGAGTTGTGACGATGTCGGTAATTGCGAAGTTGCCTCCTGAAAGTGGCTAGGACATTTGAGCTGTATTTCGTCCACGTCACCCATTGTCTTATCACTTTCTATTTTTGGCACGCAAAACAAGAAAACAATTTTTCTTCTCCAGCTTGAAGATTATCTAAAAAACTACCGAAGTCATCCAAAATATAAAAAATTCTACACACCAACACACAGGAGATTTTCCAATATTGTCGGCACTCAATCCATTTTTCATCTTCAAGGGAACTTGTGCGGAGAAGTGAAGACTTAATACAGAACTGTATATCTATGAATTTTGAATAACAGAGCACTGAATACAGAAAACTTAGAATAGGATTATGAATAATCTTATCTTGAAATGATCTTCTTTCGGGGTAGAGACGTGGTTGTGAATCAGCGAAAATTAACTCCGAATAAATTACGGAGCCCTTCCTCTAGCGCCAAAATGTTGATAAACGGATTTGTATCAACGAAAATGAACACCCCTATTTTCTGAATAATCGGTGTTCGATCGATTGTGTATATTAATGATGGAAAAATCAAGAATGTTTTTGTATTAATTTTGTTGAAAGAGATGAATGAATAGTGACCTCTCTCCCCTCCATCCCCCCCCTTTCTTTCCTACCCCATCTTTATATATACTGTATACATGTCCTTCTTTTTTACAAGTGGGACAAGTGGGGGCATTAAGAAAATGGATAAAAAGGGGTACACTAGTATTTCATGTGATATGACGCCGTGGGGCCCGATCGTGACACTTGACGGCTTCGATTGACGTCTATTTTATCGGCAATTATTGTATCTGTCGGACTCGGATCTTCTCGATATCCGGGTCGGGCTGATAATATTAATTCTGATAAGCTCGAACGTGGATGATCTGGGCACTTCGGAACTCGGTCGATGTTAAATAATCAGCTCAGAGAACCTGCTATATTTATATTTATTTAGAACATATATCCACATATAATATTTTAAGAGGCGAGGTCAAAATTTGATGTCAACAAGTATATTTATTATAAATTGTAGATTTAAACCATGGATTAAATTGAAACTTAATCAAATTCATAAAATTGCAATTGAGTCCCTTGGACTTATCAAACATATTTATGCCCCTAAACACTTTCAGATCTGTAAAGACAGAAACTCGTCCCTGATTTCCCGTCCCCATCGTTTTTTTGGACCAGTCTGTATATCAATTCGCCCGACTACGAATTTAACGGCGGAATCAAATTGGAGATCGAGTATCCGGACGTATCTTCCCATCTCCGACTCTGAACGCTGCCACTTTCCCGACGCTGTCTCCCCGACACTGCTTCAGCGCCTCCAACATGCCATAATCCCCAAATCCTGTCTCGTCTGGATCTAGATACGATTCCGTCAGGGTCGCCATTCACAGGCTGAGAAGTGGCAGTAGGAATGGAGATCGGACAAATGGTCCCTACCGACAAATATGTCAAGTTTTCTGGAAGGCGACTGAGACGGCCAGGAGTATTCCGGCGGCGGACTCTGGATGCGGCGGGGCTGGTAGTGGCATTGTCTGTGCCGGCAGCGGGACGGCGGGCGGAGGGCAGTGGGTGGTGGCCGGTGGATGGTGACTGTGTGAAGGAAGGTGTGTCTGCGGTACACTATTATTTCATGGTGATCCTCCTCCGACGACGGGGGCGGAATGAAGGTGGTGGTCGGCGACACCGCCGGCGGAAGGAAGGTGGTCGCCGGCGGATCTAAATGTGTGTGTGTGTATATCTCGTGCGTGCATCTGAGTATTGAAAGTGTGTGTTTGTGTGTGAGAGAGGCATGGGTTTTGTTGTGAATGGCGGGGCCAACTTGCATACTTAATGGGTGTACATTGACCAGAATACCCTTACTAAGTGATTAAATGTGTATAATTGACCACTGTATATATACTTATTTACAACTAATGCGTAGCCCGTGCGATGCACGTGTAAACAATATGACTTTCATAGCATGTAAAATTGTATTATCACACGTTCATAATAAATTTTGCATCTTAAGTTCATATTTTATGTCTTTTAGTGGAATAAAATCCTTCATTTTAGGGATCATATATATTTAATATGTTTATTTACATATCGACAATTTAAATTTTGAATTTGAAGATAACCTGAATCTATGATTGCAAAATATCATTTAATAAATCAGTCGAAACTTTAGGATTTGGTATTTTGAAATTTAGAAAAAAATAAAATCATTAATTTAGGGGAGATATGTGATAAAATCTATCTAAATCTTGTATACATCATGTTTTACGATTAAAACAATTTAAATATGGAGATTAAGATATTTTGAATCTCTGATTTAAACATAAACCATAAAAAATTGATATGGTATAAAATTGATTTGGAATTGTAGAATTTAAAAAAAAAAAATCATTAATTTAGAGGACGATATGTGATAAATCTATCTAAATCTTGTATACATCACGTTTTACAATTAAAGCAATTTAAATATGGAGGTTATTCTTATTTCGAATCTCTGATTTAAACAAAGACCATAAATATTTTGATCGTTCCAAAATTAGACTCGTGTATTATTTTTCATTATAAATAATTGTCAAACAAAACAATTGAATCAGCCACAACTTTATTCTTTTAATTGAAACTGCCCGATTTGATGGTTAGAAAAATGTTTTCAAAAGAAATAAACAAATAATTTTTTTATCCTTAAATTAGCCGTAATTTTTTTTAAATAAAATCTGCTAATCAAAACATATGTATTAGTCTCTATCGTTTCGGGAAAAAAACATGTGTATTAGCCGATTTTTTAGAAAATTGATTTTGAAATACAAAAAGTATATTTTTATAGTTAGAAAAAATATAAGGGTGGCCTTGCCTTGGCATGGGACTCTGAGGTGGAGTTAGGACAGGTGTATGGGGAAAACTTTTTCATTGCTGCAGAATTCAAAGACAAGGGGCACCAGATTTGGAGTTGGGTTGTGTTTGTGTATCTGAGTACTTGCAGAGAGGAGAGAAGAGTTCAATGGGAGTATCTAATCCAGGAGAAGTACAAATGGGGTCCAATATTCTTACTTGCAGGGGATTGGAATGATTTGTGTAAGCCAGAGGACAAGAAGGGTGGATTGACTAGGTCAGTGAGGAGTTGTTGAGGGTTTAATGAATTCTTGGCTCATATGGGAGTGCAGGAGCTATCTATGGGGGGATCTCAATTTACATGGGCTAATAACAGAGAGGGTGAGGGGTTTGTGGAGGAGCTTTTGGATAGGGTCTTTGTTTCATTGGAGTGGTTAGGAGTCTTTCCTAACACTAAAGTCCATAACTGGTTTAGAAGTGCTTCAGATCATCATATGTTAATTGTGGATACTTTGGGTGGAAATGTCAAGCATACGAGGCGGTTTATATTTGATAGTAGGTGGATTCAGAAGGACGGGGTGAAACAAGTTATACAACAAGCTTGGGAGGGGCAGGCTGCGGGGACTCCTATGTTTGCAGTGAAGGAGAAAATCAAGCAAGTAAGGGCTGCACTAATGAATTGGAGTAAATATTTCAGAACAGACAATGTCCAGAATATACAGAGGTTAACCTTGAAGTTAGAGGAGATGAGAAGGGAGGGTGGAGACAGGAATTGGGAGGTGTGGGAAAGACTGAAGAGAGAATTAGATATAGCCAATTGTTCAGAGGAGGAGTTTTGGAGGCAAAAGGCTAGAGCTTTATGGTTGAAGGAGGGGGACAAGAACTCGAAATTCTTTCATGCTTATGTGACTCAAAGGAGGAAGAGGAACAGTATTGATAGACTGTTGACAAGGGAGGGAGACATCACTCAGAACCTTGGTCATATTGAACAGACAATCATTCAATTCTATGAGAATTTATTTTCTTCGAGGGGTAGTCAGAATGGCCATGAGCTGTTACCTTGCATTCTTCCTTCTGTGACCAGTGAGATGAATGAGACTCTTATTGCACCAGTGGATGATGAAACCATCAAGAAGGCTGTTTTCAGTATCCATCCTGACAAATCTCCCGGGGAGGATGGCATGACAGGCTTGTTTTTCCAGCATTTTTGGCCTATTATTGGGATAGATATCTGCACAGCTATCAAGAGTTTCTTTGAATCTGGCCAGATGCTGAGGTACTGGAAGCACTCTCTTATCACTTTCATACCTAAATGTCAGAATCCTGTCTCAATCACTCAATTCAGACTTATTAGTTTGTGTGCTGTTTTTTATAAAGTTATCTCCAAAATTTTGGCTTTGAGATTGAGGCAGTGCCTTCATGTATGTATATCTGGGAATCAAAATGCCTTTTTGCCTGGTAGACAACTGATTGATAATGTAATTATTGGGCATGAAGTTTTCCACTATTTGAACAGACATAGGAGTGGTAACAATTGTTTTATGGCATTGAAATTGGATATTCTAAAAGCTTATGATTGTGTGGAATGGAAAGCTCTTCAGTTGGCAATGGTTAGGATGGGGTTCCACAGACAGTTTATTAAGTGGATTATGGCTTGTATTCAGAGGCCTACTTTTTCCTTTAATATAAATGGCAGATCTTGTGGTTATGTCTCAGCTACCAGGGGAATTAAACAGGGAGACCCTTTGTCTCCCTATCTTTTTCTTATCATCTCTGAGTTGTTGTCTGCTAGAATACATATGGAAGCTGAGAAAGGAGCATTCAAAGGACTGAGATTATCAAGAGGTGGCCCAATGCTATCTCATTTGATGTTTGCGGATGATACATTGATTTTTTGTAAGGCTGATGAGAGTCAAGTGAGGAAGCTGTTGATTATCTTGAAGCATTTTCAGGATTTTACTGGACAACAGGTTAGTATGGAGAAATCAACAGTGTTTTTCAGTAAAAATTCCTCTGATTTGCTAAAGCAGAGAATTTGCTCTTTACTTCCTGGAATTCAAATGCACTCTTCTTCAAGGTATCTTGGGTTGCCATTAGAGATAGGGAAATCCAAGAAAGAATCTTTTGAATATGTGTTGAATGTGGTGAAAAGTAGAATTTTTAGTTGGAAAAATAAATGGTTGTCATCTGCGGGTAAAGAGATCTTGATTAGAGCTGTGCTCAATGCTCTTCCTATCTTTGCTATGACTTGTTTTGTGTTACCTCTTGGATTGTGTAAGGAGATTTCTGCGGTTTGTGGGCAATTTTGGTGGAGCAAAGGGACTGATATGCATAAGGGACTGCATTGGATTGATTGGAATAAACTGACATTGGCGAAGAAGCATGGGGGATTGGGATTTCAAGATGTGCAGCTGTTCAATTCTGCCATGATTGCTAAACAGCTGTGGAAGCTTGTGACTGAACCTAACAGGTTAGTAAGCCAGGTGCTGAAATCTAAATACTTTCCTAACACATCACTGTTTGAGACAGAAAGGAAACAAGGTGATTCCTGGTTGTGGACCAGTTGGCTTTCAGTGTTGAAGGTGTGTGGCCAATGGATGAAGGTGGAAGTGAGGAATGGTTGCACTACCAGAATTTGGGATAAGCATTGGGTGCCTGATTTCATTGGTAAGGAAGTGGAGTTGCTGCCTGGAATTGAAAGAGGCTTTGAATGGGTGAAGGATTTGATGACAGGGGATGGAAAAGGCTGGGATGAAGCTAAGGTTAGAGCTACTTTTACACCTGAATTCTGTAAATCTGTTCTGACCATTCAATCTCATAATCCAGACAGAGAGGATAGGTGGATATGGTCCTTGAACAATAAAGGGACATTTTCAGTTAAATCCACTTATACCAAGCTCATTACTGAAAAGTTCCTTAAACAGTTGCAGCCTCAAAGTAGTAATGATATGGTGGTTGATGCTAAGGTTAGAGATAGAACATGGAAAATGAAGGTGATGGGGAAACTTAAACACTTTATTTGGAAGTGCTGTAATGGGACATTGCCTGTGAACTTGCAGTTGAGAGAAAGAGGAGTTGCTGTTGAGCCTTTATGCAGACTTTGTGGAGATGCAACGGAATCTGTTGTTCATGCTTTGTTTCAATGCAGATATGCTGCCTCTGTGTGGGAGTTAGCACCTGTTAGTTGGGTTGGACCTCAAGGGAATGACTCTTTCAAATCATGGTGGTGGTCTATTTGTCAATTGGATGGAGGGGAGGTTTCCGAAGCTCGGATACAGCTTTCTACATACATACTATGGTGGCTTTGGAAATCTCGTAATTTGTGGGTTTTTGAGAGTATTATGAGGCCTACACCCATTGTTATCAAAGCTGCCAAAATGGACTGGGAAGCATTTGTGCAGGGTAATAGGTGTTGAGGCCTTGTTTGTTGGGATGTATCTGTTTTTGTTTCTTTTATTATATTTGTAGCTGTTGTATTGTTGTAGTAGGTTGTGCTTGGTGTAGGGATAAAGGTTCAGTTGAGGGTAACTGCTTTATCCCTATTTAGTGTGTTGTTTGGTTG